TTCTCCCTCCCACTCCCTCTGCTTGTATGCTCTCTTTCTCTCTGTGTCAAATATGTAAATAGATAATCTTCAGAAAAAAACAGATGATCACTTTAGGAAGCACCTTGAGTAAGTAGAACCCACTGTTCATGAACCTTTGAGAATGAAACAGATTTCAATGTTATCAGTGGCTCCAACTGGAAATTTTAGTGGAACGATTTTTTGATGCCTTAAGATGCCAATCCTTGGTATGAGTCCTTGCACTGATAGCATTCCGGGACCATGCACAGCTCTTGCTGGCTCATGGGTGCTCCCAGGTTACAGCATCTCAACAGATAGATTATTCAAAAAATGGCTTTGCCAAGTAGGAATCAAAGCTAGGAGACAGAAAAGTTCTCCGGGAGTCATCAAACCCTGTTCTGGGCAAGGATGCCTCTGGTGAAAAGCAAAACTTGAAAACTTAATTTTTAGCAGTTCTAAGGCTGTCACCAGCAGTGGGACAGAGGTCTAAGAATGTTCCCAAGGCTTGCATACATAAGGTAGGGTGGTTCTGGAACCCTTAGCAGATTGGAAACCTGCTAAGCAAGTTGGAAATGACAGCAGTAACATAATGAAACTGATGGGGGATGGGGTTGGGGGAGAAGAGATCTGGAGAATTGTCACTGTTATAGTAAAGTAGAGGCTGTCTCAAGCCGTGGTATGAAATCTGGTGAGCAGAGTGGGCCACCAAAACCTGGGATATGGTACCACCAGTGAGGTAGCCCGCTGCTATTGCCAGTTGGCAGAAATTACTCCCAAAGAATGACTCCAAATTCAGGAAGATATTGTTATTAGATTTAGAGTTTGAAATCACTAGCCACCCCTCCCAGGAGATTCCATGTAATAAATCACAAAGAAATGCATGACATTCTTGACTATGTCAGTTCTGAAATGAACAGCATGTGCACTGGAAAAGCCACCTCAGTCCATGTAACACAGGCTAGGAACAGGAACCTGAGAGATGCTTGCTTGTATTGTGGTAAAGGAATGTTAATAATAGTGTAATAGAAAGTGATAAGACAAAGGTTGGAATGTGTCGGTAGCTGTGACCTCAAAGGCTTATACCTGGAATGCTGTACAGAATTATCTAAACTAACTCAGGTAAAAGTTGGTGGATCTCTTGGTGTTGAATATGGATCCTCTTCAGTGGTCTGGAGGCATAATAGAGAGGGTTCATTGTGGAGGATTGTGCTTTAATACCCTGAATAAAAACAACGAGGGAATTAGCTATTCAAATACAATTGCAGACCTCCATGATGCTGTCTACTAGAGCAAAAAATACTGAGGAGAGGGCCCCTGGGTGGCTCAGTTGGTTACACATCTGCCTTCAGCTCAGGTCGTGATCCTGGGGTCCTGGGATGGAGCCCCTCGTTGGGCTCCCTGCTGGGGATTGGGGATAGGAAGCCTGCTTCTCCCTCCCCTGCTCCCCCTGCTTGTGCTCTCTCTCTCTCTCTCTCTCTCTCTCTCTCTCTCTGTGTGTGTGTCAAATAAATAAATAAGTAAATAAATCTTAAAAAAAAAAGAAAAATACTGAGGAGAGTTTGTATACCTATATTACAGGTGATGTTAGTGTATTTATATTATGACTTTCTTTCCCGATGTAATAAGCTTCCCCCCATGCTGAGGTAAACTTTATGAGCTCATGCACATTTTCTCAGTTACAAAGTTCTGGTTGTATATGAGACAGTGTAGCCGAGTGAACTGTTCGTGCCTTACCTAATATTCCCTAGCCCAGCTCTGAGTTCATCTGTAGCTGTAATAAACAGTTTCCACCATGACAGCATCTTCCTACCCCAGAGCCTGCCTCTCTGCCTGATGGCTTTCTGCAGCATTAGAGGAGTTTGCTGAGCCACACACAGGAGCAACTCAAAGGGCAGGAGAGTTAATGCCCCAGAAACAACTCTCAACAATAGAGAAAGGGAGAATGGTGAATTAATGCCCTAGCCTCCCAGCCTGTGATTGAACACTTCTTGAATGCCCTCCCCAGAGGATGCTCAGGACATTTGAGCCCTCATCTCCCACTGTGGTAATCTTCTAATTAATGTATCTTATCTTATTTTCCTGTCTTATTTCCCCAACTCTTATATGTGCTTCCTGGGATCACCTCTCAAAAAAACCACCTGGACCCATGTTCTTGTCTCAGAGTCGTCCTCCAGATAAATAGAACCAACAGGATAAATAGATTGATCTATATCTCATCTAGATCTACATCCACAGCTACATCTGTATATAGAGAGAGATTGCAAGGAAATCGTTCACCCAATTATAGAGACCAGTGATTTCAAAATCTGCAGTCAATGTTGCAGTTTAAGACTGAAGGCAGGCAGGTGCTATAGAACCAGGAAGTCAATGTGCCAGTTCAAAGGCTCTCAGGAAGGAGAATTCTCTCTTACTCTGGGAAACGTCAGCCTTTTGTTCTATTTAGGCCTCCAACAGATTGAATAAGGTCCACCCACATTATGGGGGTGGGGGACAGACTGCTTATGTAGTCTATGTGTTTAAATATTAATTTCATCCCAAAACACCCTCACAGAAACATCTGCGGAAGTCTGATCAACATCCAGGCACTCCACGGTCCAGTCAAGTTGATCCATAAAATTAACAATTACAGGGTCTGGTTTAGGAGAAATCCAAACCAAGGCACCAAGTGTAGTTCATCAATTTGGAGAACACTCCTCAATTTGTAATGAGAGCAGAAACCTCCAAGGAGAATGTTTTATAACAATCATCACTTCAGGAACTGTACATTGCACTCTTTAACTGCCTGTCCGCATTCCAACACATAAGTTTATGACCCTTATTAAGGAGGCATTTTGACCCTCTGAGAAAACCAGATTTGGTGTTGCTGTCCATGAATTTGAAACAGGAAGAGTTCTGGTCCAGGATGAAATAAAACCTTGACATGTGTGTATTCAGTACACCCTGCCTGACATTTGCCCTCATCTTCAGGTATGTTTCGTCTTTCTCTGGAGCAGGCACTTTATTCCACTAATAGGGAGGTCCACAGGTTGCTTATACCACCTACATACACCACCTTCCCCCACTCTAGGCTGAGTCCCAAACCAGTCACAGTAGGTAAAACACCCCTGTTGGCGTCGCTGTCCGAGGTGCTGACTGAATGCTTCTCTTCCTTACCGCTGTTTTCCCTGTCCAATTGTGCTGCCTAGTGTTTTCGTCTTTGTTTTTGTTTTTAATGCTCAAAAAGATGCTGTGGATGGAAAGAGCACAGCTTTTGAATCATACTAGAATTGTGGAGTAAACATAAGATTTTGGCTCCTACTGAGTTGTGTTACAGGATTTAGGGCTTGAGCCCATCAATCCTCATTCACACCATGAATCAAAAATTTTTTGCTGTTACATATTCCCAGAACAAATTCTGGGATTTAGCACAGTCGATGGAAGAGAGCAAAGCTAAGTAGAGAACAGCCAGGGCTGCAGCTTGTAGAGTATTACCAAAAACGGGAGGCACGTGGGTGCCTAGGTGGCTCAGTTGGTTAAGTGTCTACCTTTGGCACAGGTCGTGATCCTAGGGTCCTGGAATCTAGCCCTGCATTAAGCCCCTTGCTCAGCAGGGAGTCTATTTCTCCCTTTCCCTCTACCCCTTCCCAGTCCCCCCTCACCCTGCTTGTCTGTTCACTTGCACTCTCTCAAACAAGTAAATAATTTTTTAAATATTTATTTATTTATTTTAAGGGGAGTCACTCTACTTTGACAATCTCTGACTTGGAATTTTCCTCTTTCTGACTTCCTATATCCAGTCCATCAGAAAGCCCTGTGACTTCTATCTTCTAAATACTTCCTTTGGCTTGGTTAGTCCACTTCATCTCATCTCTGCCACTTCTCTGACAACAGTGATCATTATTACTACCATCATCACCACCCCTGCTCTAGCAGTTCTAATTACCATCATTGGTGGGATGCCTGGGTGGCTGAGTCCTTGCTCAGCGGGATCCTGCTTCTTCCTCTGCCTGCTGCTCCTCTTGTTTGTACTCTCTCTCTGACAAAGAAGTAAATAAAATCTAAAAAACAAAACAAAACTAATTACCATGATAATTGCTGGGATCATCCCTTTAGGATAACGTTTTCAAAGCAGAATAAGTAAGAGTATGGGTATATTGGTTAAGTGTTTTGTCAGAATACGTGTACCAATTTGCTCATCAATATGGTATAAGGGTACAAAAACCACTCTTGCACAAGTGCCGTAAGTTCTAAGAGGCAATACATTTACTTAGAAGAGACAAAAATTGATGCATTTTATTTTATTTATACCTCAATTTATATTTATTTATACCTCATTAAAAAGACCAAAAGAAATGCATTAAAAAAAAAAAAAACCTAACACAAAGTAATTATCATGTGCCATGGCTGGGATAAGTGTATGAAGCGCTTTAAAACAAACTTTTGAGGTATGTTCTGTTTTACAGATGGGATGTTGAGACTCAGCTCAAAAAACTTGCCCAAGTTGAAACAAGAATTTCAGAGAGGATCAGGTAAGCTTCCTAAGACCACACAGCGATCAAGTACTCTCATCCTCATCTGCAGCGGAGAGATGCTTCCTTCTCTGCGCCCCAGGAGAAGTGTAAAGGGCCCCTAAGAAACCAGGAGGTGAGGAAGGGGAAGAGTTAAAAGGAAGCAGGTTGCGTCTGCTCGAGGGTTAGAAGCGGGGCTTCCGGGGCTGCAGGGTCGCCAAAGCGGCTGTGATGTAATTACGCCCATCTTTGCGTCAAAGGGCGGCTCCAGGGATGCGGGCACTGCGGTAAAGCTGTTCCCGACAACTGCGCACCTTGCCCCAGTCTCCTGCTGCGGCCAACCAGGCCAGCAGCGTCCGCTGTCGCCATTGTCCCACATCAGGACCACCATCCAGAACCACCTGTGACTCCTGACAACGGCTCCAAGCCACTGGTAACCCCTGACAACCGCCGCCAGCTCCGCGACACCGTAAAATCACCGCTAGCCCCCCACCCGGGTGCCCAGGGCGAGCCATGAAGTCTGCCTCCAGCTCACGCGGGGGTGGGTCGGGTGGCCGTGGGGGTGGTAGCTGGGGCAGCGGCTGGGGTGGGGGGCGGGGAGGAGGGGGCAAGGGAGGAGGAGGCGATGGCGGCCCTGGGGGCAAGAGCGGTTTTGGCGCGCGGGCGCGTGGCTTTGGCGGCGGTGGTGGCGGCGGTGGCGGCGGTGGCGGTGGCCGGGGCCGGGGGCGCGGAGGGGGGGACAGTAGGGACCGTGGTGGCAGCGGGCAGCGGCGTGGCGGTGTGGGCAAAAACAAAAACCGCCGCAGGAAGTGCGCTAATACTGTGACGGTGGAGCCACACAGGCATGAAGGCGTCTTCATCTATCGTGGAGCGGAGGACGCGCTGGTCACGCTGAATATGGTGCCGGGCCAGTCGGTGTACGGCGAGCGGCGGGTCACTGTGACGGAGGGCGGTGTGAAACAAGAGTACCGCACATGGAACCCCTTCCGCTCCAAGCTGGCAGCGGCCATTCTGGGCGGGGTCGACCAGATTCACATCAAGCCCAAGTCCAAAGTGCTGTACCTGGGCGCTGCCTCAGGGACCACGGTCTCTCATGTCTCTGACATCATCGGCCCGGACGGCGTGGTCTACGCAGTTGAATTCTCCCACCGCGCTGGCCGCGATCTGGTGAACGTGGCCAAGAAGCGAACCAACATCATCCCGGTTCTGGAAGATGCCCGGCACCCGCTCAAGTACCGCATGCTTATAGGGATGGTGGATGTGATCTTTGCCGACGTGGCCCAGCCTGACCAGTCTCGGATAGTGGCTCTGAATGCCCACACCTTCCTGCGCAACGGGGGCCACTTTCTCATTTCCATCAAGGCCAACTGCATCGACTCCACTGCATCTGCTGAGGCGGTGTTTGCTTCCGAGGTGAGGAAGTTGCAGCAGGAGAACTTAAAGCCCCAAGAGCAACTGACCCTGGAGCCCTACGAGAGGGACCACGCTGTGGTCGTGGGCGTGTACCGGCCCCTTCCGAAGAGTAGCAGCAAGTAGCACCCAGCAAGGGCTGTCCCCGGGATCTCCCCAATATTGTGCTGTGTTCAGTATAACTATGTATGTGTTTTCTTCGTGGGTTGTTTTTCTTTCGTCTATTAAATGGCATAAAGAAACAGTACTGAGGTGTATCATCAGTAAGGCCAGACAGTTTTACCACAATACCAATCAATCCCTAAGTCTCCAAATCTTCAAATCCCTGAAGAGCTAAAGCAGCTGGTGGTAGGAACCCACCAAGAAAGAGCATGAGAGTTGTGCTTACTCTAATCACTTAGCGCCCTGATGTCCCAGGGCTCCTCCTTACACATGCTTTCCCATCACAGGGATATGGGGAAGAGGGCTGGGGAATTACTAATGAGCCTGGAAAGTCTCATTAGAACTGAGGGAGCACTTGGGTTTACATTGGGTAAGTCACATGACTGAGCCTGACTCCAAGGAGTGGTCCTGAATATTGATGGACCATAGTATAGTGTAACACACCAGATCTGTCTGACTTTAAGCCAGAGTTCTGGTACAATATGTATTTGGTACTTTCTTCTTCAACTAAGCCCTTTTTGCATCATCCCCTAGTACTTATTTACCCCACCCGCTGGGATGGCTTTGTTAACGATATCCCTTTTACTTGCAAAGCAACAGGGCTTTTGAAGGTAAACTGGTTGCCCAAGTTTGCATAATCAGTTAGAAGATAGAATTTAAATCCCACTCTTTTGGGCTCTAAATCTGCAGCAATTTCCTCTATACCACTGGGATCATACCTCTTCCCTACATGACCCACACTGGACAAAATGCAAGTCCTCACTTGTGGACACATACAAAACACAGTTCTGTGGTTTCATTGTGTTCTTTCTTCCACCTTCCTCTGCTGCCCTTAGATTTCAAAATAACAAAATAAGGTGGGGATGGGGGTAGGATGTGGGTCTACTTTGCAAAGTGTCCCCACTGCAAGGCAGAACATACTCAAGATGGTATCACTGAGTGTCTGAGAAACAACAGGAAAAATGCCTTCAGAAAGTATGTTACTGAAGGGCATATCCTGCAGACCCTGAGTTGCTGGACCCATTACCTTTAATTCTGGCTCTCTAAACCAGCCCAAAGGGAGTGGGAGAGTAAGCAATCCCAGGGGAACTGGGAATGTTCCCAAACCAGGCCTTTGGAAAGACATTTTATTTATTCATTCACTCATATATTTAAAAAAAAAAATCCCCATTGCCAAGGTCATTGATACTGAGTCTGGGGATGACTGCTCACTAATGCATTATTTGGAGAATGGTTCTGCCTTCCTAAAGATGTGCAGGGGCAGAGATTGCCTTAGTCTGCATTTTCTGAGAGGATATTTCCTGAGTAAGATAATATAAATCAGATTTTTTAAAAAGGCATCCATATCTCCACTCCTCTCCTCATTTCCCACCACATGCACATAAATGCTATAATGCGGGGTGAAAACTACCATTCAGGTGTGTTGGCCCAACAGACTCAGGACGAACAGGGTGAATGGAATAAATGCCTACAGAAACCCAAACCAGTTATTTCCAAAAAGAATATGAAATCTTCATTACAATCCTGCAAAGCAATGATGATAATTTCCATTTAACAGTTGAGAAAACTGCAATTCAGAAAGATGACATAACCAGCTTAAGACCTTCCAGTAGGGTTCATAGCCAGAAATCAAACCCATAGGAAACAGATTCCAAAATCTATGGCCCTTCCCTGGAGATCTATACTGGCTCCTTTGCTTTGAAAACCCCTTTCTTCAATCCTAGGCTTATTAACTTGATGCTGGGATGAATCCCTGAGGCTGGGGATGGACTCCCAGGAAAGTTCCAGAATGTGACAGGATCCAGTCCTTGTCAGGGTTGGCTCAGCCTCAAAAAGGAGCACTTGTTTCTTCTTTACAGGGAAAACTCAGCCTCGTTCCTTGGCATGAGCACTCCCATATATACCCACAGGGCCGATTTATAGTCCCTGTCTGACGCTGCTTACAGTGGGGACATTAATGGAGAAATGACACAAAAACAACCGCCTAAAGAATATCTCTGTGTTGTAGATGGGTTCCTGGGTCAATGGAACAACACAGTAAGTACCAAGAGAAATATGGGACTAAGACTGAGGGAGCAAATGAAGGAAGCTGGAACCTGATTTGGAGAATAAAGGCAGGGAAAAGGATGGAACTGTAACTCCAGTGGGCAGCGAGGCCCAGAAGTAGGCAGCAGTGACACTGGACACCTGACATGCTCAGAGCCAAAAATGCTTGGGTTCCTAGAATGTATTAAATTATGATCTCTATCTAGGTGTCTTAGACCACTTGGGTCCTCATCATAAAATACCACAATCTGGGTTGCTTAAGCAATACATATTTTCTCACAGTTCTGGTGGCTGAAAGTCCCAGGTCAAGCTGCCAGCAGGATTGGTTTCTGGTGAAGCCTCTCTCCTTTGCTAGTTGATAGCTGCCTTCTCCCTGTGTCCTTAATGGCCTTTTCTCTGTGTGTTTGGTGGGGGGCAGAGGAGATAGGGAAAGTTACCTTTGGTATCTCTTCCTCTTCTTATAAGGACACCAGTCTTATCAAATTAGGGCCTCACCTTTATGACCTCATTTAAACGTAATTACCTCTTAAAGGCCCCATCTCCAAATATAGTCATATTGAGGGTTAGGGCTCCAACACTTGATGTTGGGGGAACATGGTTCAGCCCATAACACTAGGGTGGGGCAGGAACCTTCTGCTAAAATGCCTGTCTTACTGGTTTGTGAGAACTGACTGAGGAAAGCAACATACAATGTGAAATACTCATACTGCGCTCTGCGTACTGTTTCTCCCTCCCATCTTTCCTCCCTTTGTCCATATAAGATGACGGGGTAGCTGAGAATTAAGGATGAGCATAAAAGCCTGGGGTTGCACTGGAGTTCAGGGGAACTTAGCAGGGCTTTCGGAGGGGCCTGATGTTCCAGCTGAATGGTAGATACAAGTGGCTGCTGAGTTTCAGGGAATCAGCAGGCCGACGAGAGCCGCAGTGGAGCCTGGCCCGAGCGCCAGTGTGTGACCAGCTGTAGGCACCTCTGCAACAAGTGCAGGGAGGTAAGAGGCTGATACTCGAAAATCAGGAGTGATGAACTCTGCGCCGAAGCAAGTCAGCAGGAGCTGGGTGGGGTGTGGTGTGGAGAACACACAGATCCAATCTCTCCTACTCTCACCATCACCCTAATGTCCGCCAGTTTCCTTCCTCGCTGCAGTCCTGCTGTGAAGCTAGATGCACACCCATGTTGCAGTGAGTATGTTTGCGTTCTGCCTCACTCATGTTTTTTGCTTATGAGGTCTCAGGCTGGGAGCTAAGCACTGTTTGATTTTTTTTTTTTTTTTTAAGATTTTATATATTTATTTGACAGAGAGAGAGAGAGAGCGCGCGCGAGAGAATACAACCAGGGGTAGCAGCAAACAGAGGGAGAGGGAGAAGCAGACCCTGCCAAGCAGGGAGCCCCATGTGGAGCTCAATCCGAGGACCCTGGGATCATGACCCAAGCCGAAGGCAGATGTTTAACCCACTGAGCCACCCAGGTGCCCCTGATTTTTTAAAATATAAAATATAAAAATATAAAAAATAACGTACCAGAAAAATACTGAAACGTTAATGTTCAGTTTAATGGAGTGCTATAACATGAACACTGGTGTTGGAGTTACTCCTAACATTTGTGTGGTCTGAAGCAAGAGAATGTATGCAAGCCTGTGGCCGGTCCCTTCCCCTCTTCCACCCCTGGTCTGCCTATACCCTCATGCGCATGTCTCTAGAATCCCTGCCTTCAAGTCCAATGCTCTGTAATAAACTCTTCAAGTTTCCCCCAGGCTCTTTAATAAACAGCCTCCTTTAAGGCACCGCACGGAGCTAGAGTGGCAGACTGGAAGTGTGACCCTCTCTCAGGAACACTGGGCTGGAGAATACAATAGAAGCAGATCCAGGCTGCTCAGGCTGGGTTCTCGTGCCTGATCCAGGATCTAGAAAATGGGGACATGGGTTCCTGGGGGGCATGGCCTTGCTCTCTATGGATTCCTTGCCCTGGGGGGCATGGCCTTGCTCTCTATGGATTCCTTGCCCTGCAGGGCAAGGTGCAGACATAGGAAAACCAGAGCAAAGTCCTGTAAAGTCCAGGAAGGGGCTACTGGTTGCTTCTGCCTTAAAGTGGCCTCTTCGCCTCTCCACCCACCCAAGTGTCAACATTCCTTCTTAAAGAAGCAAATCCAGTTCTTCCAAGTAGTCTTCCAGACCTTTGGGCTCCCAGGAAATCCCTCTTTCGAAAGCCCTTGATTCATTCACATTCGGATTGAGATAGCATTTACTAGGCTTCCAGACACCTTGCTTAACTTAATCCACCTTGGTTAACTACCCTTGGGAGGTGGGTGTTATCACCCCCACATCACAGATAAAGAAACCAAGGCTCTGGAAAGTGATATGAGTCACCCAATGTAGTTTAGTGAGAAAGTGGGAGAACAGGGGCACCTAGGTGGCTCAGTCAGTTGAGTGTCCCACTCTTGGTTTCGGCTCGGGTCTTGATCTCATGGCCTGTGAGGTGGAGCCCACATGGGGCTCTGTACTCAGCAGGCGTAGGGGTGGGTCTGCTTGAGGATTCTCTCCCTCTTCCCCATCCCACCCCTACTCTCTCTCAAATAAATAAATTAAAAAAAAAAAAAAAAAGAAAAGAAACTGGGAGAGCAGGATTGTGTTGGTTCTTTAAGTTAATGAAATGAAAATCAGATGCTCCAGGGAAAGGCATGGATTCAGTGTTTTTCATCCACCCCGCAGGTGATTCTAATGTGTACCCAGGGCTAACACCCACTATTTGCAATTCTATACCATTCTTGTCATTGATTGGGAAAGGCAGGTTTATTTTTTATTTTTTTAAAATATTTTATTTATTTATTTGACAGACCGAGATCACAGGTAGGCAGAGAGAGAGGAAGGGAAGCAGGCTCCCCACTGAGCAGAGAGCCCGATGCGGGGCTCGATCCCAGGACCCTGGGATCACGACCCGAGCCAAAGGCAGAGGCTTTAACCCACTGAGCCACCCAGGTACCCCGGGAAAGGCAGATTTAGTACAGTATTTTGAATAACTGGAAGACAGTAG